CGACTCCAATGCTCTACTCCCTGCTGAGGAAACCTCCGCCAGCATCTCTGGGAACACCACCATTTCTGTTCCTTGCCAGTCTGACATCACTGCTCCTGCTACTGAGGATGCAATTCCAGAGTGGGTCTTCCTCCCAACTCAAGGCACTTGCCTCTGACACCAAGAATATCCTGTGCCATCAGAGAGTCCGAAAGACATTCCCTACCTTGTTTATTGTTATGATGACTATTGTCTCTTGTCAGGTATGCGATGCTACAACTTACTGGGCATATGTTCCTGACCCAGCTCGGTCCCCAACACAATGCCTACAATCCTAGCACTTGGGAGGCTGAAGCAGGAGCATTGCCAGGAGTTTGAGGCTAGCCTAGGCTACACAGGGAGTTCAAAGCCAGCCTGCACTACACAGCAAGGCCCTGATTCAAAACAAGAACAAAGTCAGAAAAACAAAAAAGAGGAAGAAAGAAAGCCCAAGTATTATATGCTGCATACAAGAAACACAAGTATTATATGCTGTGTACAAGAAACACAAGAAAAACAAATAGCCTAAAAATGAAAGGATGGAAAATAATATTCCAAGCAACAGGAACCCAAAGCCCTGCAAGAATAGCTCTTCCATTTTCAGACAACATTGATTTCAAGCCAAAAATCATCAGAAGCAGAGAAGGACACCACATATTGATTGAGGGAACAATTCAACAGCAAGAGATAACAATTCTAAACATGTATGCATCCAACACCAGCACATACAACTTCATAAAATAAACACTACCACACATAAAAGATCAGATATATGTCACAATAATTACAGTGGGGGACCTTAATACCACATTGTCACAAATAGATCAACCAAAAAAAAAAATTCAACGAAGAGAATGGAACAAAACCTTCAAACAAAACGACTTCATAGATATCTACAGAGTGTTCCATTCAACAACAGAACACACATTCTTCGCAGGTGTACATGGAACTTCTCCAAAACACCACATGCTAGCCCACGAAGCATACATAAGTAAATGCAAGAAAGCTGAAATTATCCCATGTAGATTATCAGATATTAACCAAATAAAGCTAGAAATCAAAGGCAATAAAACACAGAAATTATGCAAGGGCATGGAAATTAAACAAACTCTTGAATAATTAACTGGTCACAGAAGAAATCAAGGAAGAAACAAAACATTTCCCAGAATCAAACAATAATGCCCGTACAACATACCAGAACTTATCAGACACAGCGAAAGCAGTTCTAAGAAGGAAGTCTATAACTGTGAATGTCCACAGGAGAAAAAGAGAGCAAGCCCAAATACATAACCTAATGATGTAACTCAAGGACCTAACAAAGTAAAAGTAATCCAAACTGAAAGTTAATACAAGGCATGGAATTATAAAGATCAAAGCAGGAATTCATGAAATTGAGACTAAAACAACAATACAAAAACCAATGAATTGAAAAGCTGGTTCACTGAAAGAAGAAACAAAAGAAAATAGCCCTTATCCAGTCTTATTTTTTACAAAAGACCCAAATAATTCAATGAAAAATGAAAAACGTGCAATCACAATGGACACCGCTGAAATCCAGATTAGCAGCAGCTACTTTGAAAACCTGTAATCCCATAAGTCAGAGAATCCAGAAGGAATGGATAGATTCATCGGGACATGTGAATTACTAAAACTGAACCAAGAAGATATAAAAACCCAAATATTCCAATTATAGGCAATGAAACTGAAGCAGTAATAAAAACCCCACCAACTAAGAAAAGCTCAGGACCTAATAGATCCACTGCTTAATTCTGCAAGAGCTTCAGGGAAGATCTAATGCCACTACTCTTCAAACTCTGTAATGCAACTCAAACAGAAGCAGCACCCCCAGTCATTCCTGCAAGTTAGGAGCACACTGATTCCAAAATCAGAAAAGGACCTGCAAAGACAACTGCCAGGCAATCTCTTTAATGAACATAGATGCAAAAGTCCTCCCTACTGTACTGGCAAACAACCACCAGAATGCAACAAATCATCAAAATGGTCATACGTCATGACGAAGTTGGCTTTGTCCCAGGGATATAGGCATGGTTCAACATATACAAATCAGCAAAAGTAGTATACCACACATAGAAACGAAGACAAACAGCACATGATCGTCTCAATAGATGCAGAAAAGGCCTTTGACAAAATCCAACATCCAGTCATGATTTTATAAAACACGAAAGAACATGGATACATAAGACATTATCTCAATCTGATCACAGCCCTCTCTAACAAACTTACTGCAAACATCTCAGGAAATGGGGAAAATCTAAAAGCTTTTTCTGTAAAATCAAGAACAAGACAAGCAGGTCTACAATCACCACTCCTGTTCAAAACAGTACTCAAAGCATTAACCAGAGAATCAGGCAAGAGAAAGAGTTAAAAGGGATATGTACAGGAAAAGAAGAAATCAAATTTAAAAAAAGAATTCAAATTATCATTTGGAGATGAGATAATCCTCTAGAAAGAAGACCCAAAAACTCAACTAAAAGAATCCTAAAGTTAATAACTAAATTCAGCAGCATAGAAGGATACAAAATTAATAAAGTCAATAGAACCCCTGTATACTAATAATGAATTCACTACAAATAGATTAAGAAAACAATATCATCCCCAATAGTATCAACAAAAATTATGTCTGCAATCATAGTAGTTAGCAGCATGAGGGAGGAGTATCACTGAAAGTTTGAGGCCAGCCTGTACTACACAGCGAGTTCAAGGCCAGCCTGCAATACAGAGCAAGATCCTATCTAAAAAAAAAAAAAGAAAAAAAAAAGAAAAAAAACCCATAAACAAACAAAAAAGATTTCAGAAGTACAATAAAAGCCCAAGAAAATAAAGATAAACACATAGGTCGGGCATGGTGGTGGACGCCTATAATCAGAGCACTCAGGAGGCTGAACTAAGGGGATTGTAGCAAGGTAGAGGCCAGCCTGGACTATGAGGCGAGTTCAAGGCCAGCCTGAACTGCAGAGTGAAATCCTGTCTCAAAAAGACAAAAAGAAAAAGGAAGGAAGGAAGGAAGGAAGGAAGGAAGGAAGGAAGGAAGGAAGGCAGGCAGGCAGGAAGGAAGGAAGGACAGAAAAAAAGCAAGCAAGCAAGCAAGAAAGAGATAAAGAAAGAAAAAAGAAAAAGATAAAGAAAACATTAAACACTTAGAAGTTAACCTAACCAAGGAAGCAAAAGACCTCTACAACAAAAACTACAGTGCCATTTAAAAAAAAAAGGAGATTGACCAGGCCATCAGAAAATGGAAAGATATCCCCTGTTTCTGGACAGACAGTACCAACACTTTCAAAATGGCCATACTTCAAAAATTGCTGCACAGATGTTGAAATTCCAATAGTATTCTTCACAGCACTGGAGAAATAGTTCCTAAAATTCATATGGAAACAGAAGAGACCTGGAATAGCAAAAGTGGTTTTGAGCAAGAAAACCACAGCAGGAGGCATCACAATACTACAAAGCTACAATGATAAATGGTAGTGGCACAGAAACACTAAATAGTAAAGACAGCACGGTAGTGTGTCCGTGGAACAAAGCAGAGGATGCAGCAACAACCCCAGACACATTCAGCTATCTGATCTTTGACAAAGGGGTCAAAAAGATGCTGGAGGCAAGATCACCTCCTTAACACACTGTGCTGGGAAAACTGGCAACACACACACAGAGTACGGAATTTAGACGCATATCTCTAACCATGTACTAAATAAAAATCAAAATGAGCCAAACGTCCAACTATTCACACAGAAACACTTACCCTGCTGGAAGATGAAATAGGTAAAACTCTCGAAGGCATAGGCATAGGCAAGGACTTTCTGAACAGAACTCCAATTGCATATGAAATAGCAACAAGAATCAACAAATGGGACCATATCAAAATGAAAATCTTCTGCACAGCAAAGGACACAACTAACAGAGTAAAGCCACAACCTACAGAATGGGAAAAAACTCTTGCCACCTATTCCTTGCACAGAGGATTAATATCTGGGATATATAAAGAATTTTTAAAATCAGATGCCCCCAAATAAAAGACTCAATCAAAATATGGTCAACCGAAAATCAATATGGAGATTCCTCAAAAAAGGTGAAAATAGAAATTCCACTGGATACAGCTATGCCCTTTCTAGGTATCTTCCCCTAATACAATGCCCACATTGTATGACAGTGACATGTGCATACCCATGTTTAGAGTAGCACAATTCATGAGAGCTCAGTCTTGACAGTGGCCTTTATGTCCATCAGCAAATGAATGAATAAAGAAAATGTAGCACAATGAAGTGCTATTCTGCTATAAGAAGGATAAATATGAGTCACTTGAAGGAAAATGGATACACCTTGAGACCATAATTTTACAAGAAAAAATGAGATATGTAAGCTTTAATAGTGCATGGTTTCTATTATATGAGAAACCCAAATCTTAAGTGTATTAAAGTGCCCGCAAAAGACAGATACTAGGAAACAGGGAGATGGATATGTTGCAAATGGGAAGAGGACCAAGAGATGGAAAGGGAGGTAGGGCTTAGGGTGGGCTGGGGAAGGGAAATGAAACAGTTAAAATGTCTTTGTACATGAACCAACTGTCCATTATGAATGTACTCATGATGTACTGAAAACGTGTAAAGATAAAAATTTTTAGGATCTGGCGGCACAGGTCTGCAATCCTAGCACTTGCGAGGCTCTGTGCAAACACATGCACTCAGGACTTCACAGAAGCAAGCGACGAAGGCGGGCTGAAAGGGGTGGCACTGGAATGGGACGGGAGAGAAACAGACTGGAAGCCAGAACCCAAAGGCACCCGGCCAGGTGGGCCACCCCAAGCTGCATTACTCACACGAGGGGCTGATTCTGTCACTCATCCACTGCACAAGTGATTACGAGAAGCTGCTCGGAGCAAGCCCTAGGTGAGGTACTGAGGACGAAGGACGGGGTCAGCTGGAAGCCTGCTGGGAGAAGCCCACCCCAGGAAAGGTTCTTACCGGCTGTGGAGGGAAGACGCTGGTTTCCCAGAAGACACTTCACTAGCATTCACGTACTCCTTCAGGAAGAGAATCCCTCTGCTGCCAGACACAAAGAATTTCACCAGAAGATGCTGGGGAGCTGGGCCTGCCCCTCAGGGAGGGCTCTGCCCACCCCTACACACACACACACACACACACACACACACACAGCCCCCTGGGAAGCAGGTGCAGGGGTTTATGGGGAGGCCTGAGGCCCAGTTCAGTTGCCAACTTGGTTCAGTTGCCGACTCAGTTCAGTTGCCAAACCCAAGGGCAGCTGCACACAGAGCTATGGGCTGCAGGACTTGTGCTGGGCTCAGGCTGGAAGTTCAGCCTGTGGCGCAGCTCCTCCCTGGGTGATGGCTCTAGAAAGAGGCTCCCTGTGCTGTGTCCTCCTCCATGCTGACCACTAAGCCTCATCTTCTCCTCAGACTTCTGCCTGCTGCAGCGGAGGGCTTCTTGGGTCCTCCTTCAACACACACGCTTCCTGCAAGCGTCAGCTTGTCCATGCTTTTCTGTTGTTTGTTTGTTTGTCTGCCATGCTGGGGATCAGACCCAGGGCTTTGTGCATGCTGTGCAAGTCCTCTACCATTCAGCTACATGGCCCCAGCCCTTTCATTTTTTTATTTTGAGACAGCGTGTCACTAGTTGCTCAGGATGGCCTCAAATTTGTCACCATTTGTGATCCTCTGCTTCAGCCTCCCGAGTAGCTGAGACTACAGGCCTGCACCACCATGAAGGGCTTTAGCTTCTCACTGGGACATGGAGAAGGCGATGCACATTGCTAGGAATATGTACAGTTCCACAAACAGGAGGTTATGTTGGAGAAAGTAAGACTGAACTACGTGGCCACTTCGCCACATCAGGGGCTGCTGGGAGTCGGCGAGACATTATGGGGGAGAACAGGTGCTGAGAATTTTCCTTGCAGGAGGAACCAGGGAACAACTGTAAGTTCACACAACAGCTCCCGGTTGTGAGCTCACCCTCCTTACCTGCTTGGGCTGGAGTCCAGTTCACTCGGTGGGGCTGGCATGTACACGTCAGGTTGCTCAGAAGCTGTACTGACAGCAACAGGGACCACACAGCTAGTGTGACTTGTCACCCTGAAAGAAAAGGAAGGGGCAAATGTGTCAACCCAGAGGCCTGACATCTTCCTGGGCCACACAGGGCTTTCCAGCCGCCTCTGGAGCCTGCCACTTCAAGGGCTTGAAACGAACGCCTGTGTCTGCAAATCCCTCAGCAGCTGTCCTGGAAGTTTCCTCAGAGACTGAGTGGAACTTCGCACATTACAGGCAGGGTACAGGGTGACATGGCCTGGGTCACCGTGCATCTGCGGCAAGACCCCTATCTCCCAACTTCCCTCTGAACTCCTGGCTGCAGCCAAGGGCTGTGGCCACCATGACAGGCTCGGGGATTCAGAAGGGGAAGATACTACCTAGCTCACCTCCTGCCCCCATCCTGTGGAGAGCTCTGTGGAGCAGAAGGCCAAGGAGATGACCCAAATATTGTAGTGTCTGGGAGCAGGAAAGGCCGATGTGCCTCTTTCTGGAGGTAACCGCCACCAGCAGAGGCACGAAAGCGACAGACAGGGTGGTTTTTCCAAACATCCACGCGGTGGCTGCAGCCCTGGGCAGCACTCCTGGCATCCGAGCTCTTAGGCAGCTCACAAGGCCATTCTCAGGCCAGGAGCACACTCTGCTGCCCCTGGGTATCCAAACTACGCACAGACGCCTGGTGTAATTCAGGGTATTCCATGACCACCACTGCTCACTGCCTGCCTGTCCTTTTCGGGTCCCATCTGCCCATGTTGCGGCACTCTTGGGCCACTGCTCTGAGAGTACACCCCCTGGGCTGGTCTGAGCTCTGCGACATGCTGCTGCCCAGATCGCACGCTAGTATCACCCCCTTGCCAAAGAATCCTGTGCCCAAGACCTCAATGCGTTTATGACCAGCAAGGAAGAATACGCGTAACCTAACGCCCGTCTTTCTCTCCCACCTCACGTTCTCACTGTGTCACTTCCTGCCAGACAACAGGCCCATGCTCCCTAAATGTGCCAAGCTCTCCCAGGGCTTTACGGTAACACCCCAGGGCCCGTCCTTACGCTGCGGGGTGTGTGCACCGCCTGCCTCAATGGATCCCCAAATTTCCGCCTCTTCCTGCATCAGTGCACAGGGCAGGGATGTAGCATAGGACTAGAGAGGTGGGCTGGATGGGAGAGAAGAGCCCGTGGGAACCTGGAGACAGGCGGGGATAAAATGTAGGGCCAGAAAGTGAGATGAGACCTGCTTCCAAGAGGGAGATCCTCTGCTGACTAACAATAAGCAAGAGTCTGGCATCCTGTGATTCATGTCCAGCAGAAGAGTCAAGGGAACGGGAGAACGGAAGGGGCAAGGGTAAAAAAATCCTGTGGGGATTCCCACAGCATGCCAGGGTCTGCCACCGGGACTCTCCAGAGCTCCCTGTCCCTCCCAGGGAAACATCCACCTCTGTCCCAAAAAACAGCCTCCTCTCTGTAGCCTACAAGATCCCGCAAGGCCCTACTCCTGCCTCTGCTCATGTCACTTCCTGCCCTCCAGCCACACAGCCCATCTTTTAGGCCCTCTTCCCCTCTTTGCACATGCTGTCTCTTCAGACTAACAAGGTAGGCAGCTGAGTGTCAGGCAGCAGGTCAGGCAAGGATGGAGGCGAGTCACTCAGAGTGTGACCTAGAGGGTGTATTCTCGTCGCGGGCACCTCCCTTCTCTCTCTGCTGCCACCAGCTGAGTAGCTGTCCACTCTGCCCTCTCACCATGCCGTTTCTGCCTTGGAGCCAGCAGACCGTGCACCAAACCCACCGGAACAGCGAGCTAAAATAGACCTCCTTGAAGTCATGAGTATCAGCTATTTTCCCTGGCTACAGGAAAAGGACTAATACAGACACACAGATAGGTCAGAGGTCACAGTCAGGTAAGGGAGGCTCCCAGCAGGTAAGCGAGTAGGAAAACAGCCACAAAGCACAAGAAATGAGAGAATCTTAGAACATGCCACACCCTGCCTCAGCTCAGAAGCTTTACTACACCTCACGCTGGGGCAGGAGCCAACGGTAGGTTCCCAGGAACCCAAGGTGAGTATGGAAGCCTCAAAATTCTGTCAGAGATGGAGGTGACATTCACCTGGCGGCAGGGGATGCGAATCACCAAACCACAACATTCTCTCTCGCCCCCGATGTCCTGCTCATATACGCGCGGCAGCTGTGAGGCCCCCCGAGAGCACACTGTAACTGATCCAGCAACTCCAACACTCCTGGGGGAGTGACAAAAGGACTCGGGACGATGGACACTCTTAGACTGCTTTCAAAACTTATTTTCAATCCAGAGTGTAAATAAAGAGCCAAGCAGAAGCAGGCAATAGAGACGTACAGCAGGTCTCTGCAGATGGAAAGCGGAACTGGAGACGGAAGGACAGGGGAGGGAAGGAAGCGCGAGCAGTGCTTAAGCAGCGCAGAGGTATTATGTACATATGCCAGCTCCCCACAGCGAATATCCACATTACGTCTGACAAACAGTTCCTAAGAAATGTAAGTAAAGAAGGAAAAACTCAGTTAACTTTTACTGTGAAAAAACGATAACACTTAATGAAATAGGTTTCAAACTGCAGTCATCCTGGTTGGGCACAGGCAGCACTGCCGCTGTGGCAGACAGGAGCTGCTCACAGGAAAACACAAGGGGCTGGCGCGCTCTGCCCCTACTGCCTGCTCCTCCCTCTGTGGCTCTGGGCCTGTCTGGGAGAACTCGCGGCTGCTGTTCCCTCAGGCCACTACAGCCAGCCTCCCGCAAGCACTGCTCCAGCCCAGCTCACCTCTGTGCAGGTGAGTTACCGCCTCACTGCACCCAGTGGCCGCCCCGGCGGTGGTGGCAGTGGAAGGACTTAGCCACGCAGCCTTCACTTCTGGCAGCGAGGCCGTCCGCATCAGGCCACATGTTCCTCTGAGACCTTCCAACTACAGGAGTGGCGAAAGCACCCCGTTTCTGCTGTGACCCAGGGTTTTAGGCTCCGGCTGGTGGTTGGACGGCAGGGTCCTGGGCTGGCGTTGTTCTAGCGGCTTTGTTTCCGGGGATCCTGGCTGCAGTGTGCGGGGACCTACTCTGGGATGCTACTTTTAGGTCCTCTTCCCTCTGACTCCTGACCAGGGCAACAGGCCTGCCTTGTGTGTGTGTGTGTGTGTGTGTGTGTGTGTGTGTGTGCGCGCGCGCGCGTGTGCACGCTCTCACTACAGTGTGGTCCCTGACTGAGACAGAGGCTCCAGGCAGCAGGAGTTCAGTGCAGCCGGCCTTACCTGTCGCCCACACCGCCACTACCGTCTCCCAGCTCCATGCAGCAGTCCGGGCCGCCCATGGCTTTGGGAAGCTGCTGTGCGGGGGCAGCTGCCCGTCCCTCGCCACACTCCGGGATTCCAGGCCTCTCCGGGCAGGCCTCGCCAGCCACATGCTTCTCCTCATCCACGGCCTGGGCACTGAGGAAGAATGAACAGTTGTGGGGGGGAGTGCCATGTGGTGCCCCGGCTCACAGACTGCCTGTCGGCCCCTGCTACCCACCTGGGCACGGACTGGGGAGAGAGGAGCCCGGCAGTCCCCTCCTCCACAGGACAGCTGCGCCCCTGTCCCCGCAAACAGCCAAGCGCAGAACACCTCATGAGTCCACTAAGGCGTGAAGGCACACTCTTCCGGCTGGAGGCGCACCAGCACCCCGTTCCTCTCCTCTGCTTCTCATCCTTCCCTTCTGCAGTTCTTCCCCACTCCCAAATCATATGCTCCCCTAAAATCACATAAACTGCCTGGTGTTCTACCGAGCCCAAGGTACTTAGGCAGCCCTGGGCAGCGAGAGCCGAGGACCCCTGCTCTTGTCCTAGAGGAGCGGCTGGCGCATTGTGGATCCTGCAGCCCACCACGCGGCCCACGCAGGCATGGCTTCAGGAAGAGCCCTGCTAAGCCCAGCGGAAGGTCCTGTTTCCACTTCCCAGGGCCACAGGAAATGACAGGGTGCACAGAGGCACTGGCCGCAACTGCACGCTGGCCTGCACACAGACCACCCCACAGCACGCATGTGCATGTTCCCATGTGTTGCTTGGCTGCTTTATTCCCAGGCCTGCAACCCCTTGTCTTCACGGTCAGGGTCCACTTGCAGCTCATGGCAGTCAGAGGGGAGCTCCATGCAATCCCCCCTCAACCTGACTGTGTGCCACTACTACACTTCCCGTGTCACTAAGTCCAGGGATGCTGGTGAGCTGGAAGGAGAGAGGAAGGCTCATCACTTAAATGTCCTGTGTAAATCAACTGTCCCTCTCAACTTCCCTTTCCAACAGCCCACAGAGCAGTCGACCCGCACTCTGTTCCTTCTTAGTCAGCATTCCACACAAACTACTACTGCTTCTTCAGTGAGCTGAGCGAACGCACTCCCTTCCTTCCCCTTTAGGACAGACATGCTCTCCCAGCACAGCTCACACTGTGCGGCTCACCACAGGCCAGAGCTACTCTCTACCTTATCTAGCATCATGGGCTGGGAGGTCTTGGTGTCAGGACATGGGCTCACAGGCACAAAAGGGATAGAATGGGCTGTTATTATGCTTCATTAAGAAAGTAGTAGCAAATCTTATGCTGGGTGCCTTTTTTCACCTTTGTGTCTCTGCAGTTAGACTCCAGCAACTAGAAAGACAAAGGTAAAGAGAGAGAAACCAGACATGGACAGGTGCCAGGTAACACAATTAACCCAAGAATTTAGCAATAAGAGTCGACAGGCAAAACAGAGACATAGCTAGGAACATGAAAGGCCAGGGAAACCAGCCTTCCCCCATCCAATAATATATCAAGGAGCTAAGGAAGAGCCACCCATGGGCTCTTATTTAATATAGAAGACACATATGTCCACTTTACTTAATCATTAACTCCAAGCAATCTTTCTAGAAGGTGCCCCCCACACACACACCGTGCCATCACAAAGGGACAAGAAGAAATCAAAGGGCCAGAAAGCATATAGATGGAGGTGCAGAGGTGCCCTGGTTAGGATCAAAGACAGCCAGGGAGCCAAGCAGACAGCAACAACCTCCAGGTGCCCATGTGGGGGATGGGAGAAATCACTAGTCGTAAAGAAAAGGACCCTAGGACAAAACGTCCTGGGTATTCACTCTCTGATGCTCCCTACTCTTCCAGGGCAGCTGTTTATCTTCTTTTTGTTCATCTTTTTCCAAATAAAACATATTCCTTTATTTTAAACTCTGCCCTGTCATTCCTTACTGAAGCTGAGAGTGTATGAGGCCAGCAGAATTCCGGTAGCTGCGTGTTCCAGCAGAAAAGCAGTGCGGCATGGAGTGGCACGGCATGGTGTGGCTTGGCATACCTAGAAGGTGCTAGGTAACACACATGTGACCCTGGGAATGGCTATCAAAGTTTCTACTGGGTAAGTTTCTGTAGTCAACTTAGGGCATCAAAAACTGCTGCAGGGCAGGATGGCTGGGGCAGCACTGAGATCACTCTGCAGGACACACCCGAGGCATTCTTGCAGCTACAGCCAGCTGGCTGCTCCAGTCTGTCACCAGCCCTCCTCACCTGGTTTCCTTCCACAGCAGTGCACTGCTTGGCCTCCTGCCCTTCTGGGCACTCTTTCCTCATCTCACTGACAGCTCCTCTTCGAGGCTCCTTTGAACATGTTTGCCCCTCTAGGGTTGTAAATTCTGGACCGCTTCACTGTACGTGCACTCCCAAAACATTACCCATCCCCATGGCTTCAGTCATCAGGGCATACAGAAGTCTCGCGAGTGCCTGTCTCCTGTCTAGCTCACACGCCTATCATTTTTTTATGCACACGCCTCCCGACCTCACCTCTGACATGTCCCAAGGGCATCACACTTAAAATGTCCCAAACATGTTCTTCCACCTCCTTGGCTGAGTGTGAGTGAACAGTGATGCCATTTTTGGAGACGAAGTACAGAGCACGAGATGCAGAATCGGTGCACTGACCTGTTCTAGTCATTCAGCTGTTTTCACCGCTGGGAAAGATGATTTGGGACATGCTGAGTACTGCATGGTGACAGGATCCCAAAGCTACCCACTGGGGCACACATCGCTGAGCCTGCCACCCCCAAGAGCTGTTTCCCCCGTTCCTTGGGAGTCGAGCCAGAGACCCAGCATGAGATACCATCTGGAGCGTGGCCAAGTGTTCACAGGTGTCTATTTCTCACCTTCTCCTTTGCCCTGACCCAAGCGTATTTAGGCTTCTTCCCTCCCGACAGACCCTGAACTATAGCTTGCAGCTGTTTATACACACTAACATGCAGAACGTGCCCCACTTAGGTTATCAGGAAATTGGCTCACCATAGGCAGACAAATGTTTTGGTCAACACGCTTCTGGTCAAAATATGGAAGGCTGTCTCCTGCAAGGCTGGAGGCCCGCGCTGGCTTCAGGGCAAAAACAAGGTCCCAACGTGCTTCAGGCTGTCCAGGGCATGGGGCTTCGGGTGGGGCGATTTGTGACACACACCCTGGCAGAGGCCCCAGACATCCTCACTGTGTCTTAAGAAGGGTCAGGTGCGCCCCCATAGACAGAGAGGATCAGGAGCTGGTTTGTGGCACTCGGGCCTTGCAGCAGGCAAAGGCGAAGGGCGTGGGAGGCCCAGCTGGATGACGCCCACACCCGCCCGCATCCTGTTGACCTGCTCAGGCCAGGCCAGAGGACTCCATAGACCCTCGGGCACCTGACCCACACTACACTGCTCACACTCCCTCCTTCCGGGACTGGGCTCGGGGTCTCCCGACAGGAACGGCACAGACGAGAACATGCCCAACTCCACCAGGATCAGCCCAGATGTACTCTTAGAGCTACAGTACCAAATATTTTATCGATGTATATCTATAATTAGGTTTTCTCTGTTAACAAAATTTACTTGGATGACTGGCCTGCTCTTTTTTTTTTTTCAGTCTTTTTGAGACAGGGTCTCGCTATGCAGTTCAGGCTGGTCTTGAACTCACTTTGTAGCACAGGCTGGTCTCAAGCTCACAATGATCCTCCTGCCTCAGCCTCCAGAGTGCTGAAATTACAGGCCTGCACCATTATTTCCTTCTGAGTAACCTAATCTATCATAAAGCCAAAGAGTGTATGTGTTTTCAAACAATGCCTTTTCATTTATATTGCCTTTATCATACCCTTTAATCACCTTTGTAGCCTTTTAAATTCTAAAGTTGCTATGAGTCTTTATAATCATGTTAACTTCCATAGTTAAAGTTTTTGTTATTTTCATTGAAGATATAACTGAGAATTATTTCTCAATAAGCCATAATCCTATTTCATCAAATGTTTGTGACCTCCTAAGATTTTACTTTCCTAAAATGAAATCGTAAACATATTTTACAAATAAAACTGACAGTAAGACCTTTCAGAGGGTCCCTGGACAATTCAGAATGATTTATTCTCTTACCTTGCCACCAGAGAGATGCTAAAAATAATAAGGTTTATTCAATACTGCATAAAGTGCATGTCAAATCCAAACATGCTAAGCCTTCATTAAAATGTGGATTTCACCTGGATGTGACAGCACTCGACTGTCATCCCAACACTCTGGAGGCTGAGGCAAGAGGATTGCCTCAAGTTCAAGGCCAGCCTGGACTACATAGCAAGACCTTGTCTCAACAAACACACAAAAAATTAATTTCAATGAGCAAAACATTGCATCTACAAAAATTGCAGGTAATGTACAATCACTAACTCACTGCCCATGATGTTTCCACTGAACTGAATTCTGAAGCTGCTTTACCTGACTCTAGCCTACAACAACACAATGTTATCAGTAGCAATTCCAACTGTTCTTAAAGGGTAAGCTGGTTATGATTTTCCTTCCCTGAAGAAGTACAAATGGCTGATAACTACAGGGAAAATGTTCAGCATCTCTGCTCATTAGAGGAATGCAAAGTAAAACAACACTGAGGTTCCATCTCACTCCAGGAAGAATGGCTACCATCACCACAAACTCAATAAGCTTCAGCTGAGCATGGTGGCCTACACCTGTCATCCCAGCGCTCAGGAGGCTGAGGCAGGGGGATCGCCACAAGTTTGAGGCCAGCCTGGGCTACATAGCCAGTTCAAGGTCAGCCTGCACTACATAGCGAGGCCTTGTCTAAAACAAAACAAAACCCCCATGATTGCTCAATAAATAACCATTGGTGAGGCTTCGGGGAAGGGGGATCTTCTTACACTGTTGGTGGGACTGTCAACCAGTACAACCAGCATGGAGCGTCCTCAGAAGACTCAAACCAGAAATTCCATTCTGCACAGCTACCCCCCTTCTAGGTATCTTCCCTGAAGAGTTGAAGACACCATACCACAGTGACAGATGCATTCCCATGTTTATAGCACACACCTCGTAAGTGGCCTATACAGCCTCATTCAGGTGACTGGATAAAGAACGTGCACTGTTCATACACAATGAGCTAATCGGCCATAAGCAGGATAAATCCGAGGCATGTATAGGCCAATGGGTGCGCCTTGAGACCATAATGCTGAGTGAAATGAATCGGACACACAAGCTTAAATGTTGTATGATTTCTCTCATAGAGAAGCCTGCAGTATAAATAATTTAAAGAGCAAAGCAAAAGAGACTTAATAGGATGCATGGAGATAGACCCTTTCAAAAGGGAAGGAGACCCACTGACCAGGGAGGGGCAGGGAACTGCGGGGAGGTGGAAGGGTGAGGATGCAATGTGTACATGCACAAGTTCCTCCTGATGAAGTCACAGATCTAAAACCACTACTGCCCTTAAAGATAACAACTTCACTTCCTTGCATTATATCCGCTGGATTCTAGGCTAGTGGTTCCCAGTTGGAAATTCAGATCACTTGCTTATGGACTTCTATTACACACACGTTTCTGACCTTCCCCTTCCACCACTTTGATTCTGTTCGCCTGCCAAATCTCCAGGCTGTCAGTATGGCCTCACTCCCCCATGCATGTTCTCTCACCAAAGTGAAGCTTCCACACAGATGGAAACTGTGCCACTGCCGATGCTGAAATTCTGCTACACTGAGAATCCCCACATGGCAACTTCTACTGGTTCTTTCAAGTGGTTGAGGGACATATTTTTTTCAGTAAAGTTATCCCAAACATCCCATAAGCTCTTCCTATATCCTCCAAATTATGTATCCTCAGCAGCCATGAGCAAGGCCAGACCTAAGAAGCTGTTAAAGGTTGCTAAAGAGATGAAAAACAATGTCCCCAGGCCCCAGGTTGAGCACTTTCTCGCAGGTCACACCAACTCTCCCATCTGAAATAACCAGCCTTGCCTGAGAACTTCCTGTCCTGCCTGGGCTTGAAAAGATTCGAACCTGGTCAAGTCAAGCATTTGAAAATCCTTCCAAGGAGTTGTCCTCTCCCTGCGATTCTGTTGGCCACTGTCTGTGCAGTCCCTCGGCCACTGCCCTCTGCCCTTGTCAGCATAACTGTGAAGTGAAGGAAAGTGGCCCAAGTGGCTTTCTTCCTGGTGTGGACACAGGCTGAAGGACTGCCTGAACTCCAGCGTTAGCCATGAGGTGTGACCAACAAAGCCCATGAGAGACTCAGACAATGATCTTGCTGGGCTCAGTCACTCAGGCACCCTCTGCCTAGCATTTGCCAAACTGCCCGGCTCCCAGAGGCAGTTAACTGGCTGGCATAAACCACACTGTTTGGACACAGGATGTAGGCAAAACCAGGCTTATTTCCTTGCAGTTGGGGAGAAGCCTGGGGTACAATCATTCCATCCACATTTTCTTTCTCTCTCTTTCTCTCTGTCTCTCTCTCTGTCTCTGTCTCTCTGTCTGTCTCTCTCTCTCTCTCCCTTCGTTTGTCCTTCCTTCCTTTCTTCCTTCCTTCCTTCGTCCTCCTCCCTCCCTCCTTCTTTCTCTCTCTCTCTGTCTCTCTGTCTCTCTCTTTTTGTTTTGTTTTTTGAGACAGGGTCTGGCTGTATAGTTCAGGCTGGCCCTGAACTCACTACGTAGCCCAGGCTGGCGTCCAACTCACAGAGGTCCTCCTTCCTCAGCCTTCCGAGTGCTAGGATTAGAGGCATGCACTACCACACCTGGCCACATTACCTTTAATATCTCAGTGACACATGAGGCCTACTCCCCTTGCCCGTGGCCTAAGCAATTGCCCTCATGAAGGCTCTTCTGGTTGATCTTGCTGTGTGGGTCTGGCCTGATGCTGCTGTAGCTCATGGGGCCTCTTACATGCAAACCCACAGTGGCCCGGCCCCTCAGGATGTGGTTCCTGCCCCACCACTCTTGTAGCTCCTTGCCAAGCCACCTTTCATCCTTCTTTGCAGCATCCTCCCGATCCTACACCCCAAGTGCAGCTTCCCTGCTGCCAGCCTGCAGCACATCTGTATGGCCAAGACTTCCTCAGCCTTCCCCATGCCTGGGCTGAGTTTTTACACCCCTCAATGCACAAAGCACAGCCAGTGTAGGAAACCTCTTGGTCTGACATAAAGTCCAGAGTTGTTTGCTTAGTGTGTCTGGCCCAGGTTTCCACAGGGTCTAAGTCTAAGAGGTCAGGTGCACTAGACATTCTTGTGAGAAAAGCTATTGTCTCATAGGTGAGTGGGCTCTGAAAATGCCTTCCTGCCTAGTTATGGAGCCACTCTCATATGAGAACTGCAGAAACTTCAGGGCAGGTGGGCCCAAAGGTTCTCAAGGAGCTGGTATTGCTGTCCTGTTGAAAAGCCCCTTTTTTGCATGTGCCAAAGTGCTTAGTTCTTAGTGTACACCCCAGAGCTCACTGGGCAGATAGCACACTGCTTGCAGGGGACTGTCCAGCAGCTAGCTGCTCCTGCAGAGTCCCCACAAGGAAACCTCCCACCTGCCCCTTGCAGTCACCTCCACACTATGCACACTTGCCTCTTCCATGCACTTGTGCATGGTGATGCACATGGCCTGCCACCAATCACAACCCCATCCCTCTCCAGTGTGTGCTCCCTTTCTCTCCCCATCTCACTCTGACCCTCTCCTGCCTCTGTGGGGAGCAGCTGAGGCTGAAAATTGATCACACATGCAGGGGCGAGGGAAGGCCTTCTGCGAACAAAAGAGTGCCCAAGGTAAACCACATGAACACCAAGCCCCAAGACAATCCAAGCAATGTGTGGCTAGGCAAAGCTGTGTCATGTGACACTAACTTTGCCAAAGGCATAAATACATGCCCCTACATTGGCTGAGCAGCTCCTTTCCTCCCATACAGAGAAAGGGCTCCACCTGACCTCAGCTTTTGTCTCTTATCTTTATTTTTCCATCCTCTCACCTTCCTTCCCCCCAGGGAACTCCAAGAGCTACTGAGGACTGCATGGCATGTGCTGGCTTCCTCTCCCCATCTCCACTTTGACCCTCTCCTGCCCTTCCACAGTCCCTGCCCCCACTGTCTCTTAGTTCGCCACTGAGCCCAGGCCTAGCTTGCGGCAGGATCACTCAGGGGCTCACACCTCTAGGCACAGAAACTTCTGCCTCTCCCAGCCCCATCAGCACGAAGTCAGGCCCAGCTGAACATACAAGCCACTGGGCTCAATCTGGGCTATATTCCCAGCCAAGCTCAGCACAGCCAACTTACCTGCTGCCACCACCACTGCCTCCCAGCTCGCTGCACAGCTCCAGGCTGCCCACAGCTCTGCACTGCTGCTGCTCTCCTGCACCACACACTGGGATTCTGCTCCTCTCCAGCCAGGCCTCGCCAGCCTCAGCAGCCACACGCTCCTCCTCGTCTACAGCCAGGGCACTGAGGAAGAATGAACGTTTGTGGAGATGGTGCCATGAGAAGACCCGGTTCACAGCATGCAGCCAGATACCACTGCCTACCCAGGCACAGATAGGTCAGAGAGGAGCCAGGCAGTCCCCTCTTCCAGAGGACCTCAGGACGGCTGCACCCCTGTCACTGAAAAGGCAGCCTCTAAGTGTAACAAACCAAGCCTGGGCCTGCAGTACCTTGCCACCCTCGAGCCCAGCAAGCAAGGAACACTGCCCAGCTTTGGGGGCTGCAGGCCCCAGAGTTCTGCCCAGCTGCACATCATGTCATGCTCTCCCCACCCACGAAGCTTGGCATATGAACAAAGGGGGGCACTAGCCAGTGCTACACTTGCACACTCCTTCCACCACCATTCTGGCCCCAAGACACAAGGCCCTGCTTCTGGGAACTGCTAGGCCAAGGGCACAAGTCCAGAATTCCAGCATCCAACTTCTCCGAAGTCTTTCCTTTTGGTGTAGCTGGATCAAAGATCTAGTGGTCTGACACAACATTTCCAATTCTCGACATCTCTGTACAAATAAGAATGTCCCTTTCACCCTTGCATAGCTCCAACTAGACTCCTACACTGCTTGACAGCAGTTGTCAACAATTTGAATTATGCTTGAAATATGCATGCTCCTCACACAGGAAGAAGATAATCTTGAAACACCTACCCTTGCAGCATAGCAAAGAGGAATACAGCATGTTCCAGATGTAGTCTGATGACAAAAGTTTAATGAGAAGGAGATGAGATGCTATGTTTTATCAAACGAAAGCCAATAAATCTGGTAGTGGGCAGCTTTCTGAGGGCTCCTGAATAGCTGAAGGAGCTGTTCCTCTGAAACCGTTTCATTCAGCATGAAGGTTTTATAAAATCAGCATCTGATAGGCAGTATGTTATTCGAAGAAGTGTGCTCCATGCTTTAAACATACAAAGACATCCAACTCTTACACCACCACATCTGGTAGGAGCTATCAGTACTGCCATTCTACAGGTGAGGAAATGAGGTGCGGAGAAGATGAGCAACACAGATCCAGGAGGTGACAAAACTTGGATCTGAACCCAAGGACAAGCCTCCGCGCTCACAATCCATTATACCATACCGTCTCTACTTGTACGGTAATGGGGCAGGAAAGCTAGCACCGGGAGTCTTCAAAGCTTGGACAGTTTTAACCTAGGGCTGCCGTGCTCTGCAGGGTGTCACCGGCCCCACTCCACTCCTCCTGTTTCCATTCCTTGACCTCGCTGGCCTCTCCCTCAACCTCCGGACTGTCCACGCGGCGTCACCCCACACTGGACCAACCGGCAGTCGCTGCAGACCACGCGATGGGAAAGGGCGGCAATGGGGGAAGGGCAGCGACAGCCCAGGGCCCATGGGGCGGGATCCAGAAGAGCAGCGGGGCCATTTGTGATCCTCCAGCGACATCTTGCGGCTTTCGCGGGCACGGCCTCAGGAGAAATCCCGCCGAAGCCGGTCTCGCCGCAGACAGCCATTTTGCCTAGTAGAAGGTCGCAATTCCCGGCTAGCTCCTCTGTCTGAGTTCCACGCCTTAGGAAATGGCGGCGTGCGCAGGCGCACTCACCAGGGCTGCGCACAGGTCTGGGCGCGGACCGCCCTGGCGCACGCACGAGCAAGCGCACACACGATAGCCAAGTGCTTCCCCAAGGCGCAGGCGCGCAAGGATGCTGTAACCAGGAGATACACACGCAGGCGCACACGTTCTGCGTCAGCTACTAGGGTCCCAGGCAGCCTGGGAGAGCAGAGCGTCTCTGCTTCCCTTTTGCTCTTTTCCACTCCCAGGCAGTATTCCCAAAGAGATCAAGAATGCTCTAGAGCCGATATTGTTACATTTTCGGCCAGATAATTCTGTTTTGTGGGTTGGGGGTTGAGGTGCTGTCCTGTGCATTATAGAATGTTTAGCAGCATCCCTGATCTCTACCCTTTAGAAGCCCAATAGCAGTTCTCATGGTAGGTTTTGGCAACCAAAAATGTCTCCAGATATTGTTAGATGCCTCGCTAAGGTTTGGCGTGGTCCGAGAGATTCCCCTGCTTCATAACCACTACCCTGCTACAGTGGTTCTTGTCCTAAACTGGGGAAGAAAAGAAACAGGAGCTTTGAAAAATACAACTATGGTGGAAGCTCACCCCAGGATAATTAAATCCAAATCTCTACGTGAGGCTCAAGAAGTGTTTTGTTTTTTAATACTTCCCAAGTACTCAAGTGCACCCAGTTTGTGAAACACAGTCATACTTTTAATCCGAGGAAAGTACTCCTGAATCTGTGCCCCAGAATTGGCCAGACCTGGACTTTACTCCTACCTGTGCCCTGCACAGCACTGTGCTCTTCAGTTTCTACCTCTGTTTGACCCTTTCCAGGGTTCGGGGCAGATGACATAAAGCCACACAGCATGCTTTACACACCAATAAGCTGGAACTTACCGGTTCTGGGTTTGAGAGTAGGGGTCCAAAAAAAAAAAAAAAACCCCACAAGCTAGCATTTGTAATTTCTGCTTCCATGTTAAAATGAAGAGCAAAGGCTTGGAAGCCTTTGTAATTTTCTTTGGGCCCCTTCTTTGGTACTAAGCCCTGCTACTTAGCCTCATTAAGCCATTGCCCTTTTATGCTTGTTTTCCCCCCACTGTCTCCATCTCACAGCATTGCTGGGAAGACTGTAAAATGCCTAAGCACAGCACACTGCAACTGTCAGATATAGCTTTTGCTCTGCCTGTTAACAGTCAGTGCAACTTGAAACAGAAAAAAAGGCACATAATGAAGTCTCATATCTTAGAGATCCATTTCCCACCCCAGCCCACCTGACCCTACCCCTGCGTCTTGTTTAAGAATCAGCTGCAATTAGATGTGAAAATACAAACATGCATTCACTTTTAAACAACTAAATCACACCAGACCCCTCTTTGGCTTAAAATCTGAATAAGATTCAATCTTCTTATCATGGCTGACCAAACCTTGCTACTCTCAAGATACCTGTCACTGGTTAAGCCCCATGACTCTTTGCCTGCCTCAGTTGTCTCCCTCCATCCACTGAAGTAGGTGACCTTCTTGCTGACATCTTTATTTCAGCACCCTGGCTGTTTTCTTCAAAGCATTGGTCTTCCCAAGCGTTTGCTCTTTATTCTAACATGGCTGTGCACACAGCAGATGGCCCTATGTTAAGCTGTTGTTATGCTCATTAACACAATCATGAGACAAAAGGCCAATGGGCCCTACCTGCGTAGGCAAGCCTCCTTTTCCAGCACTCCCCCACCCGGGGACCCTCACTGTGGGCCACGCTTAGCTGTGTACACTGCCGAGGAAACACGGTCTATTTTGAGGTCTTTAGATATACTATTATCTCCTCTTGGAGGATTCCTAGTCACCTGTCACGGCACAACTCAAAAGCCACCTCCCCACCAAGCTGTACCCAGCCCCACCTCCTCCTGCTCTAGCACTGATATGATGTCCCCACCTGAGCCAGACTTGTCCCCTCTCCAGCCTGAGAGTGCCTTGAAGTTAGAGCCATGACTGATTTGTTCGCACCTTCCCGGTGCTTGCTGACTGGAAGTGTGACCTTTCCTGATTCTGCATTACTTCCCAGCAGGGCTTTGCAAAAATGCTCCCTGGTCCCAGAAGCGGAGGTCAGAGGGTCACTGCCATGTGCCCCAATCCAGCCGACAGCCCTGGTTGGCCTCACCTTCACAGCCAAAGGCTGATGCACACCCAGCTGCTTCTGTTTACCTCAGAAGCTCAGCAGTATACATTAATGCCATACCCCTTGGCTTTACCCTTTAATTCCTTACCCCTTTGTGTCTTCTGGGTCTGCCGCAGTGTCACTCTTCCTATTGACCAGGACAGCAGGGGCTGAAGTGGCACTGGAGCTGAGACAAGGAAGCATACAGGCCTGTGATACCTCAGCTCAGAGGAAGCTGAGGGCCCAGGTCTTCCCTTCCCAGCTGCCTTCTCACAGGAAGGGGGGCTATGTTTGCCATAAAGGCTGGCTTTTCAATTGAGCCCCTGGAGCCATCTGTCCTTCCCAGCCACAAGCTCCCTCAGATTGAGCCCTCTAGTGCTGACTGGCTGTCCCTGGGATTCCTTGCTCTGATTCCTCTTGCTGAGCCAGAGTGCAGTCACTACAGGAAAGGTTCACTGAAGTTTCCTAGCAGGATCTGTTTCCAAGCTGAGCTGCACAATGGCCTCCCTTCTGCCACTGACTCCTGGCCCATAGGCTTGAATCCATATAGGTTGCTACTCAAAGGTCTGGTTCAACAGACTTACCACCTGTCCCTCTTCCCCCACTGTCCCCAGTGAGTGGGGACAGCTCCAAGTCAGGACCCTCATGGGTCTCCCTGTCCTGTTGTGATCACACCATGTGAAGACAGCATGGATCTGAGACGTGTGCGGGGTCCCTAGGGCACTGGAGGTGAGGCTGAGCCCTGAAGGCTGTGCTCAGCATGGGGATCAGCCACTGGGGCAGCCGTCACACCCTTACCTGATGGCCACTGGCTCAGGTTTGCAGGAGTAAGAGCTGGCACCACCCACATCCTGATCGTCCAGCAAAGGGCTGAAGCTAGCAGCTGGGCCCAGCCTGTGGAAGGAGACCAAGCCCCATCCAGGTTCAGGACTTTGTGTCTGTCCGTCTGTCCTCTCCTAACAAATGGTGGGATGTGAGGAGCTGCTAGAATGGATGCTTGTGGCACAGTGGGGTGCGAGACCTGACTGTACCCCGAGGCAGCCTCGCACCTGGGCCAGTATGGCAGAATGGCTGAGCAGGCAAGGCTCCCTGGACTCAAATCAGAGCTTTGTCGCCTCCCGGCTATGTGGCCCTGCGCATGTTAGCTGACCTCTTTGGGCCTCAGTGCTGTCATCAGCAGTGTGCTGAGGAGAATGCGTGAATGTATACGCAAGTACTTTGAATAATGGCTAGCCGTAGTGTGTGCTCCGTGTTCCTGCTCTTTCCAGGCCCTGGGCCCTCCGTATCCCCCTGGTTATTCAGGTGTAGCAGGGCCCTCCTTACCCAGGATTCCCGTGAAAGAGGCAGACTGATGCTCACAGGGTGCCACGTAGCTGGACAGGCCCATGCCGTCCCCTCAGGTAGATGCTCGCTCAGGGCCGCTCACATCTGTTTCTGAGCAACCCTAATCACTAAGCTCAATTACTGCAAAAGCTCACGAAAATGAGTAGAAAGGGAAGATAACTGTTTCCCTGAGAAACAACCCAGACTTTGGACAGACAATTAATTTGAAATCACTGTCAAACTAAGTAAGACAACTGTAAAACACTGAGCTAAACCTCCTAAAATGATAGAAGAGTCTCCAGGTTATTGTGCAGATGACTCTGAGGGCTGGTTTCACTTTAAAGAGACAGCGAGGAGAGTGAAGAGTGTTTTATGAGGCTGCAAAAAGAGGAAAGGAGATACAAATGACTATTTCGGGAAGTCTTCTATGAGGGCGAAGAGAAAATCGAGTCAGTCCGCCGCGCTGAGCAGAGTCCCTAGCCCGGGGGAGAGAGCGTGGGCTCAGAGGCAGGATGCAGTCCGTAAAGTTAGTGAGGGTAGGCTCCTCTCCAGCATCCTGTCCAAACCCCGAGGGCTCCGGCACAATTCAGAGGTGAAGGATCTGGGGCAACATTTGTAAACCTAGGCCCTGTCCCCAGGGACCAATCTGTTTGAAACCACTTTGGGGATAGGCGTGACCAGGTCACTCACCAGATCATCTGAGAAAGTGGTTTTTAGCTCCACCCAGAAACCTGGAGCAGGCTGGTCCCAGCTGTCCCCAGGGGCTGCTGCTTTCCCGCTCACTGACCCTCAGAAGAGGGGGCAAGGGGAGGGGTGAGGCATGCAAAGGAGGCTTTGGGGCATCTTCTCCTTTGGGAAGAGAAAGAGGAAACTCCTGGCTAGACCTCAGCGCTTGCTCAGTCGGGAAGTAAAGGCACTGATTTAGCTGTCCTTTAGTCCTTCAGTCATTAGTTTGTCCCTTGTGCATTCTCCACACGCTTACTCCACCTGCCTGGGGCCAGCCTTAGGGTCGGGCTGGGCCTCCGGTTACGAGTGGGCCCGGTGCCGGACTAACAGACTTTGAGAACCAGTCGGTGGTGGGGCTAGGGGCAGAAGGAGCAGGCGTGGGGCACAGGGAAATCCACAAAGAAGCAGAAAGCCCAAGGGCAAAAGGCGTGGTGAAAAGAGGGAGTGTGGGAGAAGGGGTAGTCGAGCACCCCAGAAAGTGACCAGCGCCATTTGCAGCGCCCCAAGCAGTTTGGCAGCTTGAGCTTGGCCTGTCACCAGGCATGTGAGAAAATGCATCGCCCACCAACAGCTCACCCTCCTCTCTCCGAGCCAGTGTCTGCTCCAGCCAAGCCTTCCGGTGGGGACCCTGTGACTCCCGGTCCCCCGGGGCCATCACTCAGCTGTGGATTTGACCTGTTATAGGACAAGAAGCATTTGCTGGCTCTTTTTTTTCCCCCTCAGTGCTAGGGATGGGACCCAGGGCTTCCTGCATGCTGGGCAAGTGTTCCACCACTAAGCCACAGGCCAGCTCTTACCAAGTCTGATTCGGCTTTGATTTTTATCTGACTTCAGTGTCCTGAGAGCAGGCCCTTCCCTTTCCCTACATTGCTGCCCTGCATTTTTCGGACTGAAACCCAGCCGAGGCCAAGTGGGCCCTCCCAGCAAGTCTGGGGGAGGAGCAAGAGTGGAGCCAAGAACCGCAGCAAGGGGGCAGTCCAGGAGGGGGTGAGCACGTGGGGGCTGGTGGCCAGCAGATCAATGAATAAGATGTCCAGGGCTGCAAGTCAGCCGCAGAGCACTTTGACGAGGCCCCCCCCCCGTCCATGCAGGGGGCCCGCCCTTCCCTCCCAAGGGCTCCGAGTCCTGACCAAGGAGACAGGTCCATGGGATGAAATCTGCTCCTGGCTGCCAGATTCTCCCCCGCAGGCAGTTCCCAGCCCGCAGCCACTGCTCAAACACCCAGCCCCATTGGTCTGGAACAGGTCTGAGGGGGGCTGTAGGATGACCAAGCACAACTGTCCCCTCTGCGCTCATCATCCCAACCCTGGCTCTGACTTCTCTTCGCTGACCCCTCCCCCTCCCCCGGTTCCCTGGGTCCTGAGGGAAAGCCCCTGCTAAATGTTCTATGGAGGCCCCACATTTTTTTCCTCACTGAATTCCCTAAACTGCCAACTTGGTGGCCTTGCTTTGAGGGCCACTGGCACAGCTGCCTGGTCCTGGAGTGAAGCGTAGGGAGTGAGTGAGTGTGAGAGCTGCCCGTGAATGGGAGGAAGCTGTGAGGGCCGAGTGCTGGGGTCGGGGTGGCCTTGCCGGGAATTTGGTCCTGCTCTACAGCTGCCTGCCTCAGGGACGTTGGCAGCTTATTCGTTCACTCATTCACTCACGCGCAGATGTTCACTGAAGACTTGCACTGTCCCAGGGGACACAGTAGGAATAGGACTGTCCTGGTACCAGCTCCACGCACTGATCTTGGGCCAAGAGGGCCCTACCTCTGGAGACAGAGTTGGTTCTCCGCAGTGAGTTACCTTTCAGACTCTCTGCTGGGGCCCTCAAAGGTCTCCTCCCCAATGGAGTTTCTCTTGAGCTCTCTGGAACAGGGGGCCTCCTTGTCTTTGTGGCCTGGAGAAGATCTATGGAGGAAAGAAATCGAAGTTAACCATGCAGTAGCCACCCGTACCCAGGTGAGGGTAGCTGCCTCATCCCCAAATGGCAGCTGTCTCCAAGAAGATTACAACCTGCTATTGATTGATTGGCCGATTCACCAAACCTCGGTACTAATGTCTAGTGTTGATTGGGGACCAGTCCTGTTGTCATGGCTTTAAGTGTTTTAACTGTGTACAGTGACAATGATGTCATCAGTGCCCATTTCCCAAGTGAGCAACTTGAGGCCCATAAGCCACAGTGACCCATTCCAAGTTCCACTGGTAATAAGAAGAAGAGCTAGGATTTGAATCCAAGGTAGTCTGACTTCATGGTTCTTGACTATATCCTTTCACAGTGGATGCATAACTCTAACTTCCTAACTCAGCCCCTGTCTGTTTTCTCTGAAATCACCAGGGGCCCCAGGTTGCCAAATCCCACAGAGACAATCCTATCATTGTCTCATGCTGCCATCAGTAGCCACTAATTGGCCCCTCCCCCTTTGCCATTTCTCCGCCCTGGCCACACCTTCCTGGCCTCTGTCACCTACCTCTCCCCTTCAGTCCCTTAAGCTTGTTTTTCCCAGTGTTCCTCCCTGTCTGTATGCTCCACAACCTGCTGGGCTACCTGCTCTTCTCCATGGCATCAACTGTCATGGTGCTTGAACTAATGACTTCCAAGTGTCTTCCAGGTGCCAGGAGGTCCCAGGCACTGCTGGGGCCCGGCATGGGGCCATGGCCTCGCAGGGAGCAAGTGCTCGTCCCATGGCAATTGCTGAGTGAAAGAACGAGACAGCCTTGTCTCCCGTCCACCTGCCAACCTAGTAGGTCCATGGAGCAGGACCATCTGGTGGCCCTGACCCCTCTGCCCTGTCTCTAGATGGTGTGGCATGAGGCAAGATAGCAGCAGGGCCCAGTACCTCGTGCTTTCTAGGTCTGGGGCCACCAGGTGGACCTGCGCTGGGTGTGGGGATCTGCAGGCGACAGCCTCCTCACCTTGCAAGCTGCAAGCCAGAGGGGAGAGCAGAGAGACGCTGGTGCGAGCACCCGCTCCTTCTCCCCTGTGTTGGCCATGCAAGGACGTGCTCCCATGGGTGCCTCTGGCTTGAACATCCCCCTCCCCCCTTCACTTCTGCTCTCATCTCCTCTTTGGCCTCAAGCTTTCGTGGTGCCATAGCTGGCCGCAGAGGAAGGGGAGTGAAGGGCCCTTCACCATTCTTCTACCCAGACCTGAGCCCAGCCCTCCCTCAGCCACAGCAAGAAGTCCTCCGGGTGGAAATGAGATCAGACGTGGTCTGACAAAGGGAAAGCATGGGATGGGCCGGGTGTAGGCATTATGGGATTGACATGCTGAGACTGACACTACAGAAAGGCCACACAGGAATCCCAGGAGGAAAAGGGATGGGAAGGGCCAAGATGAAGGCAAGGAGGCAGGGAGTCCCTCACTTTCAGTTTCCTGGGTGCTTTTAGCCACTCCCAGCTGGCCTTGGAGTTGACCCTAGTTTCTGGCTCCAACTAGACTGGAAGCCCATTGAAGGCTGGGTCATCTTTTTGTCCCTTCACCTCCACACTGAGCAGGGCCTGGAGTGTTGGGGGTGACCAGAAGGAAGTGGAAAGAAAAGGGCTTGAAGAGATAAGGGGTCTGCACACCACCAAAGCCAGGAGGGCCGAGGACACACAGACAGCTCTGAATTCTTCCCACTTCCTCTCATGAGAACAATGTGACATCATTATTGGTGGTGTCATTTATGACGCCAGGCCCACTGTACCTCATTCAAACCGTGTGGTAGCAGGGAACAAGGGCGTGCCTGCCGCGGGGACGTCCAAGCAACTAAAACATATTCTTTCACTGTCACTTCTGGTTATGTCAGAGAGGAATAAGAACAAAGTGTCACCCCAGCCCGCACTCTGTCTTTCGTATCCTTGTGCCTCTTGCTCAAGCTGGCATCACCTCCCTTGATGTCCTCCTCAGAACAGCAGCTTTAACTCAAATGGCACCTCTTTCAGAGAGGCAGTCACAGGGTTGAGATGCGGGCCCCGCAGCTGTGCTTAAGTCCGGCCCCTCAGGAGACGGGGTCTTCCCAGGCGCTGAAGAAAGATGAGGTCAGACCTCACCAGGACTGGTGTCCTGTGAGACGAGGGAAGTTTGGAGCCAGGCACACAGAGGGAAGACAGGCGGTGACTGGAGGACAGAGGATGGCTGGCGACCCGGAGAAGCCGGGAGGGGTGAGGAGGAGCCCCAGAGCTCAGACTCCCGGTGCCCGGCTGGGTTTGAGCCCCCCGGTGGGCGAGCTCTGTTCCTCACAGCAGGCCCAGCAAAGCACGCGGGATGAGGGGTGGTCAGGGGCCTCGGCGAGGCTGCCTCTGCACGGAGGCCAGGGCTCCAGGGACATGGGGGCGCTGAGCCTGGGCCTCCGGGAACCGGCACTTGCCGAAGCTGGGCCCGCTGGCTCCACCAAAGCTACTGGAAAGACCTTGTGAAGACCCAGGCAGACAGTTGAAGGATACAGCCACAATCCAAGAAAATCAAAGGACTGACCGCAAGAACTGAGAGGAAGGCCTGGAACAGATTCTGCCCCACAGCCAGCAGAGGAGCAAGACCGTGCTGCTGCCCAGATCTCAGACTTCCAGCCCCCGGAATTGTGAGGAGAGTTTCTGCTGTCTCAGGTCGCCCTGTCGCTAGCCCCTTATTGAAGCAGCTTCAGGGAGCACGGGGCCTTCCAGTCTCTCCTCTCCTATAGCCACCTCCCCAGACTTCAGCCGCAGCAGCTGTGGTCCGAGGGGAAGTTTGCAGCTGGGCTGAGCGCTCCTGGGCTGCACAACAAATTCCTTGCAGCCTTCTAGAATATTCTAAAAGGCTGAACACCTTAGAAAGTGCTCAGGGAACACAAAGCCAGGAGTCTTCTGAAGCCCTAGGCTTCAAATCAGCTAGGCTCCACTGTGGCCCCAGACACCTGTGGGCCAGGGCCAGGGACCCGTGCCAGATGGAAATCAGTGTGGAGAGTCCTCAAAAGACTAAGCCTAGCTGGGGCCTGGCCTTAGACTGTGCCTCCAAAATGCTACCTGGCAGAGTAAATGGGGAGGAGTAAGAATAGAGCTTCTCTTCATTTGAGGCG